ATTCAAGCCCTCTGGGTAAGGAGATGCTATAGGCTTCCTCGATGATCCTCTTGGCCAGAAAGTCCTTCCTTGAACCTAACTGAAACCCATCCTGTGGCAAAGCAAATTCAATTTCTTCCTATTGGGTCGGCTCCCTTTGCACATGGTATGGAGGGGACAAGCCCAGAACTGGTACACAGTTCTGGTCTGCGTGCTGCCCTCATCAACTAACTTAGCCTAGTCGCTTCATGTCTCTCGATGTCCTTGACCTCATCCTTAAGCCAAGGATGTGAGGTGAAGACAGGGCGAGGACCCTTCCCGGAAATTCTCTAACAGGGATTCTCCACATCTAGTCTCTGACCACCAGCATCAGGATCACCTGCAGGCCTTACAAAAATGCGAATTTCTAAATTTTCTTAATGTTTATTTATTTTTGAGGGGGAGGGAGGGGCAGAGAGATCTTTTAAAATGTTTATTTTTTTTGAGAGAGAGATGGGGAGGGGGCAGAGGATCTGAAGCGGGCTCTGTGCTGACAGCAGAAAGCCTGACATGGGGCTTGAGCTCACGAACCGTGAGATCATGACCTGAGTCGAAGTCAGACAGTTAACGAACTGAGCCACCCAGGTGCCCTTAAAATGCAAATTTCTGAGTCACACCCCAGACCCCCTGAATCAGACTGTGCTGGCGGGTCACCAGCATCTGTATTTGTAACAAGTTGCCCACATGATCCTGACTACCACTAATATTGAAGAGCCATGTTTTATAACCGGGGCGTGTATCTCAGACTGGCCTCCACTGGTTTCCATTTCAGCTTAACTCCTTCTAATTCTGGTGGATCAGCTGATGGAGAAGAGGTAGAGAGAAATAAGAAAGGGAAGTGTCCGGCCATCTACAAACAGGCCGGGCTGTTCTGAACGAGTGCACACACATACACACACACACACACACACACGCACGTACATGATTCTTCCTAAATCACTGCAAAGAAAATAGAGAGATAGACACGCTGGCCCTCATTGTGCACACAAGGGAATCTGAGATTTGTGTACAAGAAGGATAAATCCATTGGCAAAGGTCAGTCTGTTCTGCATTTCAACCTTGAGTCTCCACTCCTGGTCCGTGTTCCGTCTGCCAGAGCGGTCACGTGATCCTGGCATAGGTTAACAAACTCAGGGCCTTATAAAGTGAGACCGGGCTTAAATAAAAGAAACGAGGGTGAAGACGTAAGAGATTTTTAATAAAAAATAAACATGTGAATGCCTCATTGTGCTCATTCTGCGTTTCTCCAAGAGAGCGCTGATTGCTGCTATCAAGTGAATCAATCCTTGAGATTAAAAAATGAAGTTTGATGAGAAGATTGTTAACACCTTCATTTGGGACACTTTGGAGGGCTGCTGGGGCCTTTTAGAACCTCACCCCCCGATGACAGCGGCACTGGCTGGAGGCCCACTCGAGAGCACAGGTGTACAGCAACAGAAATCAACCAAGCACAAAGGCCCAGCAGGTGCGATGTCAGACTCATGAGTGTGGGTTTCCAGCCAATTGGCAGCCCAAGCCCTGCATGAACCTTTGGAGGAGACGAGTTAAGTGGGTTGGATTGAAGGAACTGAAGAAAAGATCAGGAAAACCAAAAGTCATAAAACGGGCAAAGGTACACAGTTTCCGGTCCCTCCTCTGATTATTTAAGAGCACATATTCCATCCACCCCCCAAATTAACCAAATTCAACAACTCTATCCCCAAGTTTCTTAATTTTTTGATGTTTGTTTATTTTTGAGAGAGAGAGAGAGAGAGAGACACAGAGCATGAGTGGGGGAGGGGCAGAGAGAGAGGGAGACAGAATCTGAAACAGGCTCCAGGCTCCGAGCTGTCAGCACAGAGCCCGATGCAGGACTCGAACCTACGGACTGTGAGATCATGACCCGAGCCAAAGTCGGACGCTCAGCCGCCGAGCCACCTAGGCGCCCCTCTATCCCCAAGTTTTTTTTCCTCACACAGCTTTCCTCCAAAAAGGGCAAACTTTGAATTGAAATTTGGAAATCATGGCACACGTTTATAAACGTTGGCCAACAATGACATTATGGTAAAACAATTCCATATGGAGAGAAAGGTGGAAATGGACGGTGTCACAGGAGTGATACTTTCCTGGGTGCTTACAGAACTACCACATACCCAGAGGGGGTGTGTGCCCCAGGCTCAGACAGGGCATTTCTGCCCACTCACAAAGAGACGCTTCCCAAACTAGTTGGGGGCAGG